CAATATTCCAAAAGAAGAGCCCCATTTTTCGCTCAAGGTTTTACAGCCGGTTAGAGCTAGAACTAGAGTTTTGGGGCCCTGCCTCCAAGCTCAAAGGTCAGGTTCCCAGGTTGGGACTTCAATGTTTTAGACTTTCAGGCTTGGAGAACTGAGCTAACAACTCTTAGTCATTACCCTTTGTTCCCTACTTTAAATCTACCTAAATTCTCTAGCCATTTTCACAAACCAACCGGAGTAATATCAGGAGGGACAAAGTAGGAGGGGTAGGAAAGGAGCTGGCCATGCTTTCCATCAAGTATAAGGTGGTGGTTTTGGTTTGGAAACTCACTGTGAAAGACTTAGCTTTGCTTCCCTTTTATCTCTAGCACTCTCCTACCTGTGTTCTTGACATCACCTTTCTTCTGCTCCTTTTGCTCCATCAAAATTCTTTTTCTTGTATCTTCAAATTATCCATGTTCATTGGTTCATTCCCATTAGGCCTGCAAATGTCATCACTTTTCCTTGAATAAAAATGTTCCTTTGGCTCTGTCTCCCCTTAAGGTGGCTATCCCATTTCTTTCCCTTAAAAATTTAAAAGGCCGAGCATGAGAGCTCATACCTGTAATTCCAGCACTTTGGGAGGCCGAGGTTGGTGGATCACGTGGTCAGCAGATTGAGACCATCCTGGCTAACACGGTGATACCCTGTCTCTACTAAAAATACAAAAAATTAGCTGGGCATGGTGGCACATGCCTGTAGTCTCAGCTACTTGAGAGCCTGAGGCAGGAGAAACCCTTGAACCTGGGAGTTGGAAGTTGTAGTGAGCCGAGATCGTGTGCCACTGCACTCCAGCCTGGACGACAGAGAGAGACATATCTAAAAAAAAAAAAAAAAAAAAAAAAAGAATTAAAAAAATTCATTATTAGAGGATATTTATTTAAATAGATAACATAATTGAAGGATTATATGAGATAATATTTAAGATATTTAAGTAAATGCCACAATGTTTATAATTTGAGCATAGTCTGATAGTGAGAGAAGGATTAATAAAAATATAGTTATTGATAGTTCAGGAAAAAGTGTGATTTTGACATATTTCTAGCTTTTCTAGTTACTTAGTTTTCCAAACAATTGGGTAAGATTTCTATCTGAGAATGAAGTTTTTACATTGGAAAAAAATGAAGAACTTTTTACATTGGAAAAGAGATGTGATTTAGGTAGTTAGAATCTGACCTTTTATGATTATATGGTATATTTTATAATTCTGTAATGCGGAAGCATATGCTTTGCTTTTTTCATAGTCAAATAAAAATATATACTTTTGAAAAAAGCAAATAAAAATAGATATAATTCTTAGGCCAGTTATCCATAACAATATTCAATAGATTTTTTTATTGATGGAAAGTATTGTATTAATTATATTAATGAGATATAAATATGGCCACTTATTAATGTCTACAGTCAGCTCTATCCTTGCAGTGTAGAATTTATACTGAAATATTAAGCTGTTATATATATATTTTGACAGCTCATCTCTTTCTTGTCCATTCCTCCAACTAAAAAACTCAACTACACCATACACCCACATGCACCCACTGTCGCAGAGTTCTTTGGACATTTTTTTGTATTGGTGGCTTGTTTGAAGAAAGGTTAAAAATATCACTCCTTGGCATGTAAATGGTTTGTAGAGCTCTGTCTAAGGCATGAAACTTGAGTCAATGTACATGTATGTATTTATGGGAAGAACAGACTGGATGTGTACCAAGAGTGGCAAGGTTTACTGAAAACATTTTCAGCATCATATACCTTAGACTGAAGAGTGTAGAGGAAAAGAAAGGAAAAATGTCTGATGATGTCATATTCATGACAGTCTCACATTTCAGTGACTACAGCCCTTTTACCTACTTAGAGCTTTTGACTTCATTCTGTCCTTTGTTCTTCATTTGGGACTTTTAGCTGTGATTTGAGAATTTAATAAAAGACTTGGAATGGCTACAAAAAAGGAAAAAAGTAAAGAACCAATAACAGGAAAATGCAGTGTGTTGCAAAACCTTGGTTCTTGAGGAAATATGTCCTTATATATCTGTCATAAATATGGATCTATCTCTTTCAGTTTTATTAATATACTGCCTTGTTGACATACCAGTGTTTTAATACTGCAACATGGATTGAGACAGAGAGAGAGAGAGAGAGAGAGAGAGAATGAAAATATCCAACTTTTTGTTCTCTGGGTGTGCTAGGTAGTATTTTCATTTGTAGGATCTTCTGGCATAGTTATTTCCTTCTCAAACTTAGCTTGTTTGACTTGCCTCATTCTTTCTTTCTCTCTCAAGTGTTCTTTATATTGTACTTTCTGCATTCATGACACGTTTTGATTCTTTAGGCATCTGTTTCAAACGTATGTTTGATATGAATAAACTGAATGAGATGCACTTTTCTTAGAAAAGTGACAAATTCCTTTAGAAAACAGGGCCAGAGATTATAGCCCATAGAAAGGAGAATATAGTTTCCTGGAAAGAGTCTTGGAATAGGAATACAGAGATTTACATTTTCTTTCTATCAAAACTAACTTGTGCTGGGCATGGTGGCTCATGCCTATAATCCTAGCCCTTTGGAGAGCCAAAGCAGGAGAATTGCTTGAGCCCAGGAGTTCAAAACCAGCCTAGGCAACATAGGGAGACCCTGTCTGTACAAAAAATGAAAAAAAATTGGTCGGGTATGGTGGCACATGCCTGTAGTCCCAGCTAGTCGAGAGGCTGAGGCAGGAGATCGACAAGCTGAGGCAGGAGAATTCCTTGTGCCCAGGAGTTCAAGGCTATGATGCCACCTGCACTTCAGCCTGGGTGACAGATCGAGACCCTGTCTCTAAAACAACAACAACAGGAAACTATAGTAAACTCAAGACAGTGGCAGTTTATCCTGTATATACTGTCTTCTTGCCATTTCTGAGAAGATTGCATGTAAATTCCTTCTGAAAACTAACTTAAAGCATCTTAGCATATGTTTCTGTTTGGATTTAGATGCAATTGGCATGATGTATGTTTGTTTCATACCTTTGAAGAAGAATCTTTGAATCCTGGAACTGGAAGGAATCTCAGTCTTAGAGTTTTTCTATCTCTGGGATAACCCAAAACTTTGATATTCTTAATTATTATCACTGTGTAACCTAAATAGAAGGCCTTGATGTTTTCACAGAAATGGAGTGTGTAGAATAATGGGGAATTTGATTCAGAATCTTGTTTTATCTCTTATCACTTAAAAGAAGGCTGTAAACATAAATCCTTATAAAGGCTAGTGAGGTAACCTGAATGAGGTGAAAGTTCTGGCAGTAAGATCACAGGGAGTGGTGGCAGGGACTGTGGGGCAGGAGAATGCAGACTCTACATATGTGGGGTAGCCACTCCTGATTTTTGAAACACCAGATGGACTCCATGGTAGCAAAGGGCCATGGTTGGCAGTGAACAGTGTCCACTGATAACAAGTTTGTATTATTTGGAATTTTAGTTTGGAGAATTCAATTTTAATAGTAAAATACAGTTATAGAAGAAACACACAGGCAATTTTCCTTGAGTATGTGATTTGTGTACTTCTTCTAACAGGCTGTCCTTTCTGTATACCTTAATCCTCTTCCATTCTTCTTAGAAAATGTTTCTTTTCAAAAAAAAAAAAAAAGGTTTTTTTTTTCTCAGAACTATTTTTTGAAGCATTCTGCTCTTATGTCCTAAAAATTGTTTCTAAGACCTTTTTGTGTTGAATAGTTGCCCTCCTATTAACAGAATTGCTGTTTTAAATACTCCTTAACTATTTTCCAGTGTTTAATTCTACTCCCCACAAGGAGCTTAACCCATTAAGTCTCCTCTGAAGCCCACTTCCTCCCATCTTATGTTTTGTAGGGAGGAGCAGCCAATTGGTGTTCTTCTTGTAACACCCTTCATATTACTCTGTTGAAAATGGCTACCTCTTGTTTTCTTTTGGTCTTACAAGTCTGCAAACTTTTTTTATGGCTTTTGTTTTCCAGGGTTCTGGTAATTGTAATTACTTTTTTCTGAACTCTTCCCAATCTGTACACTAAAAAAATAATATTTTGAATTATACCCAGTCCTTTTAAGGGCTAATCAAACTAGTGAGACAATACCACTGTCTTACTGCTTTTGTCAGTTAGTGCCACACAACTGGATCATATTCACCGTACACTCCATGACCCCAATTTCTTTTTTCCCCTACTTGCTCTCTTGTAGTCAGAATTTCTTCGTATTTTATCTGTGTTTCATTTTTCATTTGTAAGTGTGCTACCTTGCACTCACATCTAATAAACAATATCTTGTTTTTGATGGATCATTTCTATCTTTGATTTGTCAAGGTTACTTGGAATTCTATTATTTTTCAGCAGAGCTAGAAACTTTAACCTAGTTTACAGCCAAAAAATGATTGAGAATGCTTTCAATTCTGGCAGCCATTGATTTAAAAAAATATTCAATCATATTAGACTCAAGAATCTGGGTGCTGTTTTATAATACCACCCCCAAGTTACATCAAGCCATTTATCTGTCTTGCTGCTAACTCATGGTTTTCCTGTTACTGGGAAACTATGTTTTTAAACTCTGCAAACATTGGTATCATAATAGGTTGAAGAAAAAATAATTGCGGTTTTTGTCATTAACTTCAGTGGCAAAAGCCGCAGTTACTTTTGGACCAATCTAATAGTTTCTCAGTTGATTCTAGAAACTAGATTTGAGCAATTTAGAATAGTAATTTTGGGGGCTGTGATTTGTTGTAGTGGAGAGAAGAAACCCAATAATTGTTTCATTTATTCATGTAACTTAGGTAGCATTAGTATTTTGTATTTTTAGTAGCAAAGTGGGAGAAAATAAAAGAGCCTTTAGATTGAGTATAATATCTGTTTTGTAGATTTTTGTTCTGTGTTGGACTTTGAGAATGTCTATGCTTTGATTTAAATTTAATGGGCAGTGTCCTATTTATGAACATAATAAAATTAATTTTTTTTGTTATTGCCATTACAGGTTTTGGAAGGTGATAATGAAATGCAAAGAAGTTACATTTCTCGAACTTGAGAGTTAGTGACTGCTTACCAAATTTTAATGAAAATTAAATATGACTTAGAAGCATTGATTTATGAAGGTTTATGATGTCATCAGTTTCGACAGAAAGCAAACTCCAGCAGGCTGTGAGCCTACAGGGAGTTGACCCAGAAACATGCATGATTGTATTTAAAAACCACTGGGCACAGGTAATGTATGAATTTCACTTTTTTTTTTTTCTTTTTCGGTAGTCTCAGTAGCCCCAGGGGCCTCCATCACACTGAATCAGGGTTTCCTACCTCTGTGATAGGTAACTAGATTTCTAGAAACATAGGGAGGGAAACTCTTTCAGATAGGAAGAAAAGTAACTTTTTCTTCTTGGTCAAAAACCGTGGTTTTCACAAAAGCAATTAGGGTACATGCCCTAATTGCTAATGTCCTGTTCCTTGGATATTTTTAGAAGAACAGCAGTTGTTCCTTAAAGTGACTTTTTATATAGCTTTGCAATATACTTGACCATAATTACATCCTCTCTCTTTCTCTCTTCCCTGCTGATTTCCATCCAGTTCTTAAGCTCTAATAACACTAAAATACACATTTATTAAACATTTACCAAGTGCTCTGTTGAGTACTTCAAATGCCTTATATCATTTAATCTTCTCCACAAACCTGTAAGGTAGCTAGTGTTAGCTTCCTCATTTTACAGATGAGGAAATAGAAAATTACCGAGGTTAAATAACTTGCTTAAGGTTATACAACTAGTAAGTTACTCAGCCATTACTTAGACTTTGGCCCCTTGACTCAAAAACCCGTATGTTTGACCTCTGTGCTCTACTGTTTTGGGGCTGGTGGTCTTTGTGTAATTTAATGAAAAATGCCTGACTATACCTGAATATATGTCTTTATTACAATGATTATAGAAATTTTTTTGATTACTACCTTGACTTCTCTGATCTGCTGTGTGGATAATTAAGGGTTGAATGTTCAGAAAATTTACTAGCTCAGCCCTTTCCTTAGGGAGTTTACAAGTAGTAAAATAAATAAAATTGGCATTCTTTACTACTTGCCCAACATTGCACTCCCCAGGTGAGCTGGTAAGTGGCTATTTATGTGACAGCTTTTTAATGAATACCCAGTTCCTTCCTGTGGCCGGAAATAGCACATGGGTTAAAGCACTGACCATGTAAATCACAACAATTTTAGGGGACACGGTTTAGATAAAAAACAAACAAAATCAATTTTGCTTCTGAGCCGTTTATATTTTGTAGCTTTTTGTTACTATCCGGTATGAACCTTGGATGATTTTTTTGTGCATTCTCTGACTTTTTACTGTTAGAATTTTAATGGATTTGCTATGGACCTTAGGGCACATATGCTTTATTTAGTTAAGGAAAGAAAGTAATTTTGGAGTTTTCCAGATAATTAGAGTAATAACTTTTGGCTTTGTACTTTTATAAATATTTTAAAGCAGTGGCTCCAAAGTGAGGTGGTGAATCCTAAGGAATGAGCCCAGTAGTCCATTGGGTGTAGGAAGAATATTTTAGAAGGTCTGTTTCTGTCTTTACCTTTTATAAATTTGTTTTGTGTTTAAAATGTACATTATATATTTGTATATTAGTACATGTATGATTACTAATTTAATTATTTGTGCTCATTTAAAAAATCCATTAGTGCTGGGCACGGTGGCTCACGCCTGCAATCCCAGCACTTTGGGAGGCCGAGGTGGGGATCATGAGGTCAAGAGATTGAGACCATCCTGGTCAACATGGTGAAACCCCGTCTCTACTAAAAATACAAAAAAAAACTAGCTTGGCGTGGTGGCGTGTGCCTGTAATCCCAGCTACTCAGGAGGCTGAGGCAGGAGAATTTCCTGAACCCAGGAGGCGGAGGTTGCCATGAGCCGAGATTGCGCCATTGCACTCCAGCCCGGGTAACAAGAGCTGCACTCCAGCCTGGGTAGCAAGAGCGAAACTCCGTCTCAAAAAAAAAAATCCATTAGTACATAATCATATATATATATACACACACACACACACACACACACACACACATATATTTGAGACAGAGTCTTGCTCTGTTGCCCAGGCTGGAGTGCAATGGCATGATCTCAGCTCACTACAACCTCCACCTCCCAGGTTCAAGCAATTCTCCTGCCTCAGCTTCCTGAGTAGCTGGGATTACAGGTATCTGTCATCATGCCTGGCTGATTTTGATATTTTTAGTAGAGATGAAATTTCGCCATGTTAGCCAGGCTGGTCTCGAACTCCTGACTATGTGATCTGCCCACCTTGGCCTCCCAAAGTGCTGGGATTACAGGTGTGAGCCACCGCGCCTGGCACGCCTATGTTTGTAATTGAGAACATTTTCGGCTCCAGTCATTTCATTAGGCTGAGAAAGTCTATCTTACTACATAATCATTGCTCCCAGCCCCATTTTGTTTATTTGTTTGTACATAATACCTTTGATTATAATCACTTCTGCTGGGGTAACTTTGATATGATCCATTTAGTATTCTGTGCCACTTTCCAAAGACATGATATATTATCAGCTTCTTGATTATATGTAGGTGGGTCATCTATCCTGTCAGATTCTGTCCCAGGCAGGCTTTCTCTAACGTGAGGAATATGTCAGTACTCTTTCACATTGTTAAAAGATTAATTATTGGTCCGAGAATCATATTATTCATTTCCATAACCAGGACGAATGACTTCAGCATTATCAGACAGTTTGGATTCTCTGAAGCACAGTATAGATATATAGTACTCTCATTGCAGATGAGTGTTGAGTTGAAGGTAAGGATAACTTTATCAGAGGGGATGGTGTTTAGTTGTTAAGCATTTTCTTTTGTAAAGTGGGGACACTCATGGTCCTATTGTTGGCTCAGCCATTTCTTTACCTTTGGGCAGGTTTTTTTTTAACCTTTTTTAGGCCTTGAATTTTCCTTTTAAATAAATCTGGAAAATGCTCTCAGTCTCTGCCTACAGAGACTTTTGAGGGCCTTTCTGTTATCTTTATGAATGAAAATACTGGTTGAAGAAATTTATGTGCGTGTCCAAGTATGATTGTTCAATGGAAATTTACGGAGCCCACACTCCAGGCATTTCACTGTAGGCATCACAGGTAGGACTTGAGAATGTATAAGCATTGGTTTTGGCTTTAAAAAAGGTATAAGCTAATTCAGGTGAATTTGCAGGATACATTATTACAAAATTAATAACCATGATTACAGGTATTAAGTCAAGAGAAGGGGCTATTATGGCTGGAAATGGCCTGGGAATGGAGAAGGTGAGATTTTGCTAGGTTGGCTGTGGAAAGGAAGGTTTTGATGACAGACAGGAAAATAATATTTCAGAGAGTGGATACTGGGAACAAATGCTTAATTTTAGCTTTTTTAGATAGTAAACATAAAGGAGGGGAAGGCAAAAAAAATCAGAGCCAAGCAAGAGATGTGGGGCCAAGAGTGAGATAAGAAATGCGATCTTCAGTTGGTGGGAATGAATGCTATTTGTGTGTTGTTTTGGAATTTCATACATTAGTTCTTGGCTGTGAGTTGTTGGGCTGGAGTGGGTGAAGAGGATTTGCAGAGAATTGGGAAAGGAGCTCAAGTCTGACATGAGCTCCTAGGCCTACTGTGACTGTAGCCCCTGGGCTCCCCTGAGGCAACTCGAGAAAAACCTGTAAGGTGGGTAGGTAATGATTCATAGACAAAGCTGGAAAGCATTTTATTTACTCAGGTGCTCCCTTACCTGCCCAGTGTAATGCTTTTTTAAATGTTAAATTAGGAAAAAGTGAAGGCAACAAAAGCCTGTGGTATCCTAAATTCTATTTGTTAGGAGGAGACGTAAGTACAAATTCAACATAATTAACTTATATTTGACAGGTTCTGTTCTGCTATTTATTAATAGCATCTATTCCAGAGCTTGAGTTAAAAAGCAAACAGTGATGGAGGAGGAGATCTGCTTGCCCACTTAAACCTTAGAGCTTGTTAGAGGCAGCTAGTATACAAACAGCCATTATCCAAGCAATCTGTGATTCAGGGGAGTCGCCAGGGGAGAGACCTTAAATGGCCTAGTGATCCAGTTGAGGTTCCAAACTGTTTCTGGGTGCAGTGATCTCATGGCACCCCAGAATCATTATTGAGTAGACTTTCAGGAATGGTTGCATTCCTGATGGTGACACTGAAGAGTCTGGGCTATAGAAAGTAGCCCCTGACTTCTCACCTTCTGAGATGCCATCCTGTGCCATAAGTTGCCAGAGTGATGAATCTCAAACCCAGATCTGTCTGGTTCATTCCTCTAGTTGAACCTTTCAGTGGCATCTGGCTACCTAAAGGCTGGGATGTCACACAGAATTTGTTATGTACTGACTTCTGTTACTCTCTGCTTCTCATTTAATCTCCAAAAATGCAAAGTTGCCTGGGGTTCCTGGCCACCCCTTCTCCTGGGCAGTGTCCATCATGCTGTTTCAGTCCTCTGTGCCTTAAGCACTCGTTCCTCTTTCTGCCTGAAATATTTCTCCCACTGGTTCTATCCCTGACCTTCTACAGGCCTCATTTGAGGCATCATTTTCTCTAGGAAACCTTCCCTGCCCTCTTTCATGCTTCCACTCCATGTTCTAGCATTAACCTGAGTATTCTATCATGGTTACACCAGCCAGCCTTTAATTTAGTTACTTATATTTTTAGAGACAGAGTCTCACTGTGTTGCACTGGAGTGCAGTGGCTATTTGCAGATGCAATTACAGCTTACTACAGCCTTGAACTCCTGGCTCAAGAGATTCTGCTCCCTCAGTCTGCCAAGTGGCTGGGACTACAGATAGGCACCACCATGTGTAATTCAACCAAATTTTATTAAAATTACATATACAGTATCTTCTTCACAAACTCATTGCAAGCACCTCAAGATCAGAGACCATTTGTAACTTACATCCCCATTGCCCAGAACACAGTGTGACATATAGTATGTTCAATAAAATATTGAACTGAAAGGCAGTCAGTATGAAATACAAGTTTAAAAGACTAGGCAACTTAGGAAACAGCTTTCAACATACACTAATTTAAAAACAATTTAATAATTAATATGGTAATTACACAATTATTTAATTGTATTATTAACAGCTTTCTACATACAGCTTTCTAATTTAAAAATAGTTACATAATTAATATAATTATACAATTAATCAAATAATTAATTGTATAATTTGCCACCAG